CGCGACTTTATAGAATTGAGAAGTTGTTAGATACTTTAGATGATATTGTTGAAAAATTAAATGATCGTTTAGACGATGATGTATTAAAACTGGAACAAAAACGAATTTTTGATGAATTTGAGGATCAGTTCTATAAAGTCACATCTAAAGCGAAACTATTAATTGCAACATTTAAAAAACAATTAACTTGTTCGTCTAATAAGAAAGATATAAACGACATCAGAAGTCCAGACATTTTACTTCCTACGATACCGTTACCTCAATTTGATGGCTCATATGAAAAATGGATTGAATTTAAAGATAAATTCAATGCACTTGTTCATAATAATATAAACCTGGGTAATATACGAAAGTTTCATTATCTACGAGAGAGTCTAAAGGGAAAAGCAGCTCAGACAATTAGAGCGATTCAATTTGGGGAAAGATATTATGAAACAGCATGGCTCACACTTTGTGAAAAATTTAACAATAGCGAAAAACTAATATCGAATTATAATAAAATCATTTTTGAATACGAAACTATTGCCAAACCTAACTCTTCTAACTATCCGATCTTGCTGATACGATAAGCAATAATCTGGAGTGTTTAAAACAGTTAGGAGAACCCACTAACCACTGGGATTCGTTAATTATTCATACAATCGTTAAGAAACTCGATGTACAGTCTCTTAACGAATGGAAAAGATATAAAACCAATTTAACGGAACGAGCCGTTACAAAAGATATAATAGATTTTATAAGGTACAGAGCAGATTTTTTTGAAGATGTTGAAGCTGACAACCCAGATCAACCAATGAATATAGTCAAACCCCGTGACGGGTTGAAATATTCACATTTGGCAGGTTCAAGTCATATGCAAACATTAAAATCATATCAATCACAATCGCGTAAGTGCTGCCTTTGTAAAAGGGACCACTTAATATGTTTTTGTCCAGACTTTTTATCGTTATCGGTGAAAGATAGAAAATTAAAGGTTAAACAACTTAATCTTTGTGAGAATTGCTTGCGTACTAATCATGTAACTAAAGACTGTAGATTTGGCGGGTGCAAAATTTGTCAAGAGAAGCATAACAGTGTTTTACACATAGATCGTGAGAGGGTTGCTCAAAACTCTTTCATCATTACTGATAATAGTGATACTACTAATATCAAAAATGAGGAATTAACTGGAGGTACACAATCAACTACTTGTGCGGTAGCTGCTGAAAATGACGTCACAAATCGAAGTGCAATTCTTTCTACTGACACTCTTCGAATTGGCGGAAGACTTAAAAATTCAGAGTATTCATATGACAAAAAACATCCTGCTTTGTTGTCATCTGATCATCATTTTACTCATTTAATTTTAAGCTACTACATGCTGGTGCCCACCTTTTATTAGCACATACTAAAGAAATTATTTGGGTACCTAAAGGTCGAAATTTAGCAAAAAAAACAATAAGAGATTGTGTTACATGTTCAAGGTTTAATGCTAAAACGGTACAGCCAATAATGGGAAATTTACCCAAAGAGAGAATTCAAAAAGCTCTTCCCTTTTCGATATGTGGTGTCGATTATGCCGGCCCCTTTGTATTAAAAGACAGAAAAGGTAGAAGGGCAAAACCTTATAAAACTTGGTTATGTTTATTTATATGTTTTATAACAAAGGCTATTCATTTGGAACTTGTAACGTCTCTAAATTCTGAAACTTACATTCAGGCATTACGGAGGTTTTCAGCACGTCGAGGAATACCCTCCGATATATATAGTGATAACGGAACTAATTTTGTCGGCGCACGAAATGAACTAAAGGAGTTATTTTCTTTCTTATTAGACAACAGTTCACAAATTTCTGATTTGGCAGCGCATATTAAAATTCGTTTCCATTTTATACCTGTTAATGCCCCTAATTTTGGTGGCTTATGGGAAGCCAATATTAAAAGCGTTAAACGCCATCTAAAAAGAGTAGTTGGTGAGAAATTACTCACCTATGAAGAGATGCATACTTTTTTAGTTCAAATCGAATCAGTACTAAATTCTAGACCACTTTTTCCCCTATCAACCGACCCAAACGACCTTATCGCTCTAACACCCGCACATTTTTTGATTGGCAGATCCCTATATACGATTCCGGCGATAGATTTAAGAAATATTCCGGAAAACAGGCTTTCTGTATATCAACACATACAGAAGATGCAGCAGCATTTTTGGGAACGTTGGAGCAAAGAATATATTAGCGAGTTGCAAGTTAGAAATAAATGGAAGGAAACGCATGGATCACTCAAACAGGGACAGTTGGTGGTGATCAAAGAAGACAATAAACCTGCAACCAGGTGGAATTTAGGGCGAGTGGTAGACTTTAAACCTGGCTCCGATGGCATAAAGAGGGTAGCTGTTATCAAGACCCAGAATGGTTACAAAACACGACCAGTATCAAAAATTTGTCCTCTTCCAGTCTCTTCTCCATCTATAGAAGATAATATTAATTGAAAGCCGTCCCTTTCAAGGCGGGGGGCATGTTTAGATTTACCCTGTATATAATTATATTATTATGTTTTCATGGTAACATGAGTTGTTAATTATTCGAATTTGTAATTTCAAAATAAACGTCTTTTTAAAAAAGCCAAACTATCAATCCGTTCCAGTGGCTTTAGCAAAAAATAAAAGATTTTATGCGATTTTTTTAAAAAAGACGTTTTGTTTTTTTACAAATATCTCCAAATTTTTAAGTAGTGCCATAATGCAAAGTCAGCTTGATCTCATGTCACATTCGTTTTTTTCTCATCTATAGACATTGGCAAGCTTTTTAGAAAATCATATTTTTCAACGCGTATCAAAGAGTGCGACAGATCAAAGCCACGCGCGAAAGCAAAAAAAATTATTTACTTAGTTAGAAGAAATATACATTACTTTAACAGATTAAAAAAAGACTCCCGTGTAATATAAAAGTTAATTTATAATTCACATCTCACTGTATACCTTTTAATTTCGAATATATTTTTTTATTAAATAAATTATAAAAGTAATTTAAAATAATTGAGCGGTATTAGCCAAGGGAGTAGTTGTTTTCATGAGGAAAACGGTCGAACTGTGATACGGACTTTGAAATTTTCTATGCCTTTGATTTTCAGATCATTTTTAAATGGCCTTCAGCGTCTTGTGTATTTAGCCATTAGATCAACTGATATGTTGAATTTATTTTTGGTAACTAGAACCATACTATAACGCTTTTCCGGATTATAGTTATATATAAAACATTTTTTTAGTGTGGGTAGAAAAAGTAGGTAATTTTTAAAACCGTGGGTATATAAAGGGGGAATTTTGGGATTAAGTGATGGAAAATTTTACATTTTTGAATCGGCTACACTGGTTGAAATAGAGATTTTTCAGGTTTTCGGTCACTTGAAACAAATAGAAGACGGGAGAAGACAAAATCTTCAGAATAAAAAGTGAAAATGTTCTCTTGAAACACAGTGATATAGTGAAGTCACAAATCAGGTAGAAATTAAAGAAGAAAATAGTATTTGAGAGATGCCAATAAGTAAGTTCTTATTATAAAACCTCTTAGTTCAATTATATTTTAATAAAATTGCTGATAGATCGATTTCGATAAGCTGTAATACTCGTATAATACTTATTTAAAAAAAAATGCCATGTTTCATAACTATTTAACAATTATTTTCCATAAGACATTGTACGTTTCCTAATTAATTACAAAATGGTATATTTTTTATTAGTGTTACCTTTTTGTGATTTATAATGAATAAAACTTAATAAGGAATCATTTTACCACTCTAAAAACCCCGATTCTGTTTAACCACTTCACTTCTACATCATTCTGAAACGTGAGACGGCAAATTCTCTTTCTTTGAAAGAAGGTTCTTCAAACAAAAATAAAACATGTACCCTTTTTTTTCTTGGAATGCCCGTCTGAAGAAGGGATTCCCTAAGTAATAAAAA